CACTTAGTTGAGTTGCATGAATGCCTGTTATGTGCAAGAACTCCCTCACCAAGTCAGGAAGAGGGAATCTGACTCCCCCCTCAACGATATCAACAATTAGCCACTTATACCAACCATCAAAGAAGACGGGTGTGTCCCCTAAGGCCGCTCTCACCTCAACGCTATCGGGGATGTTATGATCCTCCTTGAACCTTGCCAAGGATTGCTCATCGGTTATCAAGCTCTAGTAGATCCCTATGGTTTAAGCTTTAAAAGAATAACCCGAGCAAAATAAAACAATCAAAGTAGACTCAAGAGCAATCAAGGGGATTCAAAGGGAAGAGGAGGCCTAGGTCATCAAGCCATGTTTGCCTTTACTTCCTAGCAAGCTCAAAGGCTCACCTATTACCAGCCAACAAGCTCAAGAGCTTGCTGTTGAGCTTGCTACACATACCTTGGCTAACCAGCCAAACATTTTCAACACCCAAGTTACAAACATGCAAGGTCATGAAATTTTTTAAGACAACGAATCAAAAAGAACATGCAAAGAACATACGAAGAACACATGAAGAACATTCAAAAATTCATACAAAAAGGTGAAGTTCAATCCAAGAATCATCCTTGAAACTTGTAAAAATTCGTAAATTTACCTCAAGATGGTAATCGTTGGGTGGTTGCGGCGCAAGTGACTCTTCGAGGCTCCAAGCTTCCTCTCCTTCCTTCTATGTAGCCAAATTTCAAAGTGAGGTGAGAAATGAGGCAAGGAGGAAGTATATATAAAGCCCTAAGCTACTTAGGCAACTAAAACCCTAGTCCTTTAGGCAAATTAAGCTCATTACCAATGAGTTAAGCAAACACATACCTCAATTAATAAAAATAGGTTAATTGAGGTATGAGGGCAATTGTGAGGCATAAGAGAGGCTCTTTCTACTACCACTTGACAAAGGAGGCCTACCCTACTGCCACTCAACTAAAGGCCCCTGTGATGCATAATAGAGGCTCCTCCTAATGCCACTAGGCAAAGTGGCCTCCTTGACACCACTAGGCAAAGTGAGCCTCTCTTACTGCCACTAGGCAAAATGGCCTCCTTCACACCCCTAGGTAAAGTGGTCTTCTCCTACTAAGGACCTTCCTCACACTACTCGGCCAAGGCTCCATTAAGCAAACATAAGGAGGTTTGCCCATGCCACTCAGCTGGTAAGGACTAAGGTTTTTTCAACTAACAAGAGACTTGGGCAAGTCTATCCTTGTTCGTGCCTCACACCCAAGGCAACTAAAGATGAGTCTCACTCAGTAAGGATCAACTAAGGAGGTCTAATGGAAATACTTCTCTGAGTATCAAGGGACTATTCATAAACAAAGCCTTATAGCGAGCACACCTCTTCATACAATCTAGGACTCAACGTCCTAATATAATTCTACCTCTAACATCTAGGGGATTGATGATGCGGTTTATCCTATCACAACTTAGAGTTTGAGTCTATATGGAACATCACTTCCTATATCACTATAAATAAAGGTACCAGGTACCAAGTAAGGGATTCAATCCTAGCTCATTTACCCTATACCTTTCTTTGATTAGCTTACTGACTTAAGCATCGAAGTCCCTTTGCTCACCTCTGGCCATCGGTTCACCTAGGTTTTCTCTTGTCTTCCAGGGTCACCAAGTCTTCTTCGCCATCATCTCTATAGTGCAGGATCTAAATTGTCACATAAAATAGTTCAATGGCTTGATTAACACAAATGTCACACTTGCAATGAACTTATATTCCCCAAGATCTGTCCACAACCCCTGCAAATGCCTTACCCCATGCGCCACCTAATTCCGATGTTTCCCCTTCTCTTATTTTGCCTGCCATACTACTCACCCAACCATAATCCACCATTCCACCCTTATCTAACCTTACTCCTTCCATTCCCCATCTTCTCACACTTATCTTATGATTACCAGAAATTAAGATGGTACTTGTCGCCCAAAAAATCTCAATTTTCACACCAAATACCCACTGCTTGAATGTTATCTCACTTTCCCCACACTAGATACCAAACTCAGTCACTATTACTTCTAAATCCCCACAATGGCTATGCATGATGAAATCCATGCCTTGCTCAAGAATGGCACATGGACGCTTGAACCACCTCTACTCAATCAAAATCTGGTTGGCTGTAAGTGGATTTTTTGCATCGAAAAACAGGCTGATGATAGCATAGATCGATATACAGCTCGCCTTGTCACCAAGGAATACAATCAACAGAAAGGTGTCAATTATAATGAAACATTCAACCCGGTTGTTAAACCAGTCATCATACTCACGGTTTTATGTCTTGCCGCAACTCATCGTTGATCTATTCACCAACTCAATATCAACAATGGTTTCCTTCATGGTACTCTCACTGAGGAGGGTTACATGACTCAACCACTGGGATTTTTGACTCTAATCATCCTCATTATGTCTTTTGCCTATGGAAGCCTCTTTACGGGCTTAAACAAGCTCCTCGCGTTTGGTTTGCTTAGCTAAACAATTTTCTCGTCTCTCAAGACTTCACAACCTCTCAGACAGACACCTCGTTATTCATTCGGCGAAACCAAACTTCGGTCATGTAGATTCTTGTATATGTGGATGACCTTATCATCACAAGCAGCTCCACCTCCTTTATTAATGATCTCATCCATCAGCTTGGACATGAGCTTGTCACCAAAGATTTGGGCAGCCTCAATTTTTTTCTTGGCATTGAAGTTGTGCCTACATATCATGGCTTATTGCTATCACAATGACAATACATTGTTGACTTGCTCAAAAAATGTCATGTGGATGGTGCTAAGCCTATCTCCAACCCATTTTCTCCTACTATTAAACTTCTCTGCAATGTTGTTAACCCATTCTTTGATGCCCAGCTTTATCACCGTGTTGTTGGTTCTCTACAATATGTCACCATCACTCGCCTCAATCTCTCTTTTTTTGTCCATAGATGCACTCCTCCACCAAGAAACATTGGATTGTTGTAAAACGATTTTTTTGGTATCTCAAAGACATCATGGACATTTGTCTTCCCATTCACTACTCTCCACATTTTGTTCTCTATGCCAATTCCGATGCTGATTGGGTAGGCTACTTGATGAGCGAAAGTCTACTGGTGGTTTTGCTATTTTTCTTGGCCCGAATCTCATCTCTTGGTCGTCTCGTAAACAACGATTCGTTGCCCAATCAGGCACTAAAGCAGAATATCGTTCTATTGCAGATGCTGCTGCTGAAATTATTTTGATACAATCATTCTTGCGGGAACTCCATGTCACTACACTCAGATGCCCTACTCTTTGGTGTGATAATGTTGGAGCTACTTATCTCACTGCCAAGCCCATTTTCAACAACAAAATGAAGCATGTTGAGATAACATTTCACTTTGTCCGTGACAAAGTAGCCCAGCATGATCTTGAAATTCAATTTATCTCCACCAAAGACCAACTTGCCAACATATTCACCAAACCTAACTCAACTTTGCGGTGTCAACTTCTTCGTGCCAAGCTCAGCCTCCTCTATGGGATGCTTAGCTTGCAGAGGCATGTTAGAGATAAGAATTAGATAACAATCTTTGAACTCAAATTTACTGATCAAATAGATATTGGATCACATAGCAATCTCCTTAACTAACACAACTTCTTCTTGTAATCAGTTAGATCTATAAATACTATCCGTACAAGCAAGCAAATGTATAAGAAAAACAATTTTCTATCTCCACTCAATCTGCTCTTTCACCCGCAAACTCATCCCATGGTATAGTTCAATGGTGAATAAAGGAGAGTCTACGATTGAAACCATGCACAATAGAATTAAAAATCACATAAACAACGTGACTAATAACAACACTTTAGTGGGACCACACACAAACAATACATTGGAAAGCAGAATCACACTTCATAGGGACCACTGGCACCAATAACTTTACATTTTTTACATATAAAACTACACAAAAAACAAAAGGTAATATTTGAACACAAAAAAATAAATAAAAAACCCCAAAAATCAAAGCATATATAATATTCGTGCTTCCAACAGTTAAAAAACTGAGAATCTTGACTTACTATGTGTTACATTCGGATCACCTGAGCAGTGGCTGGACGAATCAAACAAATAAACATTGTTCAAATTGAAAAAAAAAGTAATAATCCATCAAGTAAATGTGAAAAAAAGTAACTGACTTAGCGATATTATAAAAACTTGATAACTACTTTTGTAAATCAAAAGGCAAGAAAAATTAATTTTAATTAAAAAATTTTAACACTAAAAATAGAAAGGCTTCATTTAGAGATACCATGTTATGCCTCAAATTACCTTGAGTCGCCCATTACTCTTTGTATCATTTTCTTTTTTCTTTTCATCGTTATTTTTTAGTTTCTTAATTTCAAGCAGTGTCACTTTGATCTAATAAAAAAATAAATAAATTCAAATTGATTAATAGAGATGGTCACACACTTGAGAAAAAATATGAAAAAATCCAAGCAATATCATTCATGTACCTGGTAAAAATAGCAAAGAAAATTGATTTGATTTTTTTTTCCTCCTCTTTTATTGGTCGATTTGTATTAAAGTAATGTACCTATATTTCTCTGTCTATGAATTCAATAATCTATAGAACTTCTATAGTTCAGCATGAAGAATGCAAAAAAAAAAAAAGAACACTAAAACTAAAACTTAAAAGCACGAACTTGATTTCAACTTCTGAAAACTTAAAAGGGTGAATTTTAAGTTTCTTATTTTATACCTTCAAAAATTAAAATTCTCATATTATACCTCCAATATATTAAAAGTATTACAATGTGGCCCTTCTGTTAATTTTTTTTTGTTTTTTTGTTAATGTCAATGAGTTGACTTTGACGAAAAAAATAACAGAAGCTAACAGAAGGGTTACATTATAATATTTTTGATACATTGAGGGTTTAATGTGAAAAAATTAATCTTTGAAGATGTAAAGTTTAAAATTGTTTGGGATACAAAGTGCAAAAAGTCCAGACTTAAAATTCTTCACTGGACAACTTCAAAGCCATTGTGTCTTGTTCTTGTTCTTTCAAGTGGAAGACATTCTCCCATGACATCTTTCTTGTGGTTGAACAGTTCCTTAGCCTTTCCCCTCAATAAATGTGGTCTAAGCTTATTCACATCTGCTTGTTTAACTGGCTTAAGAAAGAACTCCTCCGCTCCTTGTTCCAAGCAGCTGTTCAATTTCATCCATGTAACACCAAATCAATGTCAACTTATTATTACTAAAATTTCACAAAATAAAGTTGGATTTAAAAATAAATTATACTTTATATCGTCAAATTATAGCCCTGTTATCACTATATCCTTTTTCTTTTTGAGTTTTTTTTTTTTGAATCACAATAGACCCTCAACTACTCGGATGGGTTTCACATTGCTCTATTACCAAACGTTAATTGCGTTTTGGACAAAAAATATCTATGTCTCATTAGACTTTGGGAGAAATCAAACAAAATCATATAGTTTGGGTAACAAAGTGTGACATTTTTTCATCAAATGTCTGTAGTTAATAAAATGTGAAATCGATAACTAAGTTTCAAGATGAAATATGAGAAACATGAAAGCTGAGGAAGTAATGTGAAATTTCTGCATGGATATGGGGTCAAAGTGTAATTAGCCCAAAGAACTTAATTGCTTTATTGTAATTTTTTTTCCCTCTCTTACCTATTAATCCTTGAAGGGATATTCTCAGAGGACATGATGACCACTGGTATGTCCTTTAAAGATGAAGATTCCTGCCATATCACATAAAAGCTTAAATAAGTAGATCCCAATAGAAAGTAAATCATACAGGAGATGTCAATCATACACCTTAAGAAGCTGTATTGATCAGTTTAAATCAAATAATTGATGGGAGAAATTACATAGCATATGTTTTAGTGGACAATACCTCAACTTGCTTTTTAGTATGATATCAAAATTATTAAAGAATACGGTACAACTCAATCGGATAAGATTCCTATAAAATGTCATTGTTTGGTTTCGATCCCAAAAAAGATCAATCTTACATTGTTAGAATTGATAGTAGCAGCTTCTTCTTCTTCTTCTTCTTCTTTTTTCTGTTGTTGTGATTTGATCCTATTCGTGTATGGTTGGACCCAAATAAATTGTGATAAACTCTTATTTAGTTGTAACCTCGGATATTATAATCATATCAGGTTGGGACACTAGTTTAACCGAGAACATGACAATGAATATTATAGTAAAAATATCTTGACATGACAATACAAGCAAATGAAAGATAAGAGTTGGCTCCAATAATTGGTAATAGTGGGAGGGTTTTTCATCACATACAATTTTTTTTTCACTGAACTATAAAACATCGTTGTTAATTCAAATAGGGGCACACAATACATAAACGACTGTCTTACCACTAACTAGAATTACTATTCAGAAAAATTTTAGGATCTCCCGTCGTTGATAGACTGCCCTAGCGCACATTCATTGAATTTTTCTCAATTTAGATGATTGTGTTGCATCCTTAAGTCATTGAATAGAGTATTAAGCGGTTAAAGGTATTTACTCGCCTTTATTTTTCTCAAGAGATCGTAACCCGTTATTCCAGGCATGCGATAATCTGTAATAATCAAATCAACTTCCACTTCCTGTAATAACAAATTAAGTAAATATGTCATCAACAAATACGGATATCATTTACCAAGGAAATGAATACAGAGATCAAAGCATGTAGAAGAACAATATATACATATTCAATAATGTAAATATCACTAGCATTCCCAGAAAAGAAGGTTTTATTAGAGAGAAACTATACTTGATCATGGCTGTTTGTAGAAACGTTGACAAGGTCTGAATGCCTCCCTTCCGCATCTTGTAAACCGAGAAACTCCAGAGCCTTGTTGCCAGAATCCACAGCAGTCACTGCGATCATAAAAGTCACCCAAGAAAAAAAAAACGAAAAGAAAAACGATATCGGATTAGTCTCTCCACATGGGGATGTATCTAACTTTTCCAAATTCCACAGTGGCGTGAGCTTTGTACATTGGACCCGACTTTAAAAATCAACAATAATGTAGTTCAATGCATGAGTTTTCCATCATTGTTTGGTATGGGAAGAGTTAGATGAAAAAGATAAAAACGTTAGCATTGATTATACATACCTTGATAAGAGGATGTCTTGAGAAGCCTCTCAATCAACGTTCTATCAATGAGGCTATCATCAACAGCAAGGACATGGAACTTTGCATCCGTGGCCACACCACCCATTGTCAATATATCCTTGAAGAACACAACACAATACCACTGAAAATAGAGGAATATAGGACTGAGAATGAAGGATTGTTGGTGGTGGTTGTGAGTTTTTATGAAGACCCATTAGGGTTAGGTTTGAAGATATGCAAGATACTGACAGTTCGGAAAGGAAGATCAGACCAGATATCATTCAGAATCTCCCGGATCTTCTCTGTTGATTTTTTGAATGGGTGAACAAGCAAAGAAGTTTCGTAATGTTGCAATGGCTTTTGATAAGGGTAAGGCTATACTTGTAATCTTTGATCTTTTGAATAATGTTAACAAAGCTATAAAATATAACTCATCCACGTGCCTACCAGTTTTGACTAGCCATCATAGTTACTATTAAAGTAGTTTATATGTTTGATAGGTTGTACGGCTAGCTAAAGAGGTCGGAAGAGTAACTCCAAGTCTCTCACAATTTTAGACACAACATGCACATTTAAGACGAATCTCTTATGACGTTGGCAAATTTGGATTAAAAAAAATAGATTTGCTAAGTTCGTCAATTGAATGCGTTGATTCAAATTCAATTATGCAATACTTATACACGATATAGACCTGACACGATAAGAGTTAAACTCTACATGAATCAAACAAGGGTTAAATGAATTTTTACACGACTCTTAACTATTGACAATTCTTAGTGTAATGTCAGCAAATACTTATTCGTTAAAGGGATGTATAAGATGTTTGAATTTGAAAATCGCTCTCAAAAGTTAAGATAAGATGATGTAACATGTTTATTTTTTAAATTCACCATAGACAAGAGCCTTATGCATTCATTTGAGTCCGAAAATCACTCTCAAAAGTCAATATAAGAATACATGACTTTTTTATTTTTCAAATCCAACATAGACCAGACTCTTACTCGGTTAGAACTTTGCAAATTCGAACGTTCTGGTACAACACGTTTTTTTTTCATGCCATCTAACGTTTGGGGGCCTGAATAAGAATAATAAAAAAAGTTAATGGTCGTACCAACCAGGGACTAAACTAAAATTTTTATTCACGGGGGTTGGAAAAACTGGTTATCAACAAGTTAGTGTGGGACAACTTTAGGCTTCAATAAGAGTGAGACCTACACTTTAAAATTGATAAGACCGAATTTAAATGCGTTTTCTTTCGCGAAGAGTTTAACGTGATATATTTATTTATTCAAAACTATTAAATATTGAATGAGAAATTATATCTCATAATGATCCACTTGAATAGATAGAAGGAATTAAGTTTAATAACGTGTAGTGTAATAAGACTTGTCCCACATTGAAAGCAGACAAAAAATTTAGTGAGTTAATATATTCCTAATTTGCTTCATGGGTTGAACTCCAAGGGGTGTCATAAGCAAGCACTTATACAATCTTGGTTACCAAACACTCCCAATTAGGCTACATTTGACTTGGGTAAAAAAATATATTATTTTTTTGAAGAAACTTTATTTAGTGCGGCGTGGGTCGTGGATCAAACCAAACATATCTAAACATCGGTCGCAATTAATCTTCTAATTGAAATTCAAAATTCATATCTGTTATTTTTGAATTTGGCGCCAAAATGAATACTGATTGTTCACGCTCCAGATATGCCTTTCCATATGTTAATGTCGTTTAATAGTATGCCTGTTCAACGAACATTGGCATCTCGTGCATCTTCAGGCAATCCAAATGGACACTAATGGTCTATAAATAAACTGTCATCAAGCCATTTCAAGATATGAAAAAAAAAAGATAGTAATTCTTGCATACTGTTGCATCTTCTTTCGCTGTCTACATTGCATATCTCTACAGTTCAAGTATAAAACACAATGGAGTTTTGAAGATTGAAGTGTTACATCTTTAACATCGAAATTCGTTCTATTTTGAGAGACAATTACTTATCAACCTTTAGTATCGAGAGGAAGCAAATATGTCTTAAGGAAACTGTGAATACATAGGGTTCAAATTATTTCTTGATTCTTATTCTTCATTATTATTAATGTTCTGCAATCAAGTAAGTGTGTCATTTCAGTTTAGATTATATATTCTATTTTACATAAATAATTGCATATAACAATATACTTAGTGATTTTAGATTTGCTACAGTAATTAGTTTTATTATTTAAATCTAATTATATATTTTGAATAACAAAAACCCAAAAAAAGAAAAAGAAGCACAATATGCACTAAATCAAAAATAAAATAATAATACTAGAAAATTATGTTTAACCCCCTAATTATGTTTCTTTCTCATAATATCTTTTCCACTTTTACATTCTCGCATTTTATCTTCAACTATGATTATTGGAAAATGCTATTTAGACCTAAAAAACTGACATAATTTGTTGACCTAATGACGTGGTTTCATTGGAACTATTGGATTAACACCAAGTTTCAATGTTTGATAGAGCTCACAGTCAATCCAAATGTCATAGTGAATTAGGTTAGCAAATTAGGTCCCAATAATATTGCTTATGATTATTAGTGTCACATTGCATAGATTACAACGTCCACATTAAATAGAGAGTTGTGTTACTTTACCGCCTTATTATGTGATTTAGTGTCACTTTACCTCAACATCTTACAATAAGTAAATTTTTTTTTGCAAACAATCACAAACCTTTGGTTTTAATATACAAATGAAAAGTGATCTAGTGTAAAAGCCTCTACAAACTGTAGGGTGTGGACAATGTCAGATTTACGTAACTTTGCTCTGGCATGCGAGATAACTGCTTTTACTGACTTAAACCTTTTAGAAATCCACCCTCTTTAGTTTTAAAATGTAGTGCAACTACATCTAATAATTGATAATGCAATGTGGCAAGCTCAATAGTGAAAGTGGTGAAATGACAATGGAGGTCATAGATTTCAAAAAAAACCCACTTGCAATATATATGCAAAATAGAAATTGTCGAATTACAATACATATTTATTTTTGTACTTTTCCAATGATCAATTCCCCCACAACAAGGGACATGCCAAAGGTAGCATGACTGTAATCCCTATCATTATAATGCAGCTATATCAATAGGGAATCTGGACAGCAAACCAAGAACAATGGAGGGAGAGGTTGAGGATAAAGATAGGGCTCCATCGAGATCCCTTGAAGGATATGGTTGAGGATGGGCACTAGGCGCCTTGTGTGAGCTCTCTCCCAGTCATGGGGCTGTTGTGGTGTCCGGCCGAAGAAAGTATTGCACAAACTAGATCCACCGCGTTATTAGTGGACCCGACCCGATCATTAGAAAGAAGACATAAAAAATAAGAAATATAAGGTCTCGTTTGGATGTCAGTAATCCTAATCGGGAATGAGTAACTCATTCTTAGTAAAGTGATACATGTATTTCAAATATCGTAATAATATTTTATTTAATGTTTGGTATCCTTAGTAATCTAGTATAGGAATGAATATCTATTTCATTAATATTTTTAGTAATGAATTTTATTTTAGAAAAGAACATGATTTTAGGAAAATAGCTTGGCTTTAGCGACAAACTAAATTTTGTGAAGGACTTTGAATTTGATTTTTTTTTCTTTTTTAAGAATACCCAATTAAGTTGGGTAAGAAATTACCACTATTGATGGTGGGTTTAAGATTCCAATATCATTGAGAATTTGATTCCAATAGTAATTTTATTCCCGATATAAATTACCGATTCATTAATCACCAAAACATAAAAATTCATGGAATTAAGAATGGGATTATCTTTCCCAACCAAAATTATCGCTATCCAAATGAAGCCTTAGTTTACATGGGCTACCACCTTGTTGGAAATCTCGGGAAAAAGGTTTGATCTCATTTTATCCATGTATTATTCTCCTAATAATCAAGGAGAGAGACATTTTTTTTTTTTTTGGGATTTGATTTACGATCTAAATATATATAGAGAGAAAACCAAGATATTAAAGAGCAAAACCAAACATTCAACATGGAGTAGGCTAATCAATTCCATACTATAGATAAAGCAATCAAATCAATTGGGAAGTTGCTTGCGAAGCGTTCCTTCTCATTGTTTTTTAAAAAATATTTAATTATGTAATAAGTAATCCTATTGTAATTTAAAAAATTGATGTAATTTGTTAAAATAGTAATGTGACAGTAACATGGTTCAATAGTATTATTGTAACTATAACTCTTGAACTTCTTTATTGAGACTCTACCACTTAACACATTATTAGGTCAGTAAATTAGGTTGATTTTTTTAAGTTCTAATAGCATTACTTTTATTTAATTACTAGCTATAATCCATGTCTGAAGGCACGATGAATTATAAAATTTAAACATATAAAAAATTCATCCCACTGTATTAAATAATAATTTTTCTTTAATTCATTTTTTTTATTATATCACTTAAAATTTATTTTTACCCATTATTTTTTAAAAAATAACGATAAAAATGCGTAATTCGAAAAATTTTCTTAACATGTGTATACTATCGTATATGGATAATGTCTAAAATAAAAATTATGTTAAATTACAAATTTGTCAGACCCCATCCTAGTCTCCCAAGGATTAGACGCGACTAGATGTTTGATACACCAATTTACGTATATAATCTGGATTAATAAAACACTAATAATCTCACAGGTGCAACAACACCACTTATCACTTTAGTCATTAAGTATGATGGTAATACCTGTTTTATAACCTGTACCATATATAACACATATACCATTTTTTTTTTAGGTAAAAATTTCACACCCACATAGCATACATCTCAAAGTATGGTTGTTTAGTCTGTTTACAATCATACACTATTAACATGTCATAATAATCTCTCACAAATATAATACACAACCCAGTAATTAGTCATACAGACACTCAACCTGAGTGATATCACACTAACGTTGTACAAGACTCAATCGATTGAACAATGGACTGGTCTGCATCTTCCTCTATAGTACCTGAAAATGAGAAGCTGTAAGGGTGTGAGCTAAACCACGCGTTCAGTGAGTATACATGTTTTATATGAAGTGAAAATAATAGTAATATACTGCAGTAGG